TATATATATATATATATATATATAAATGTCAGATTGCTCAAATTGTTCTTTTGTATTTCTTCAATTTCTGAAGTCTTCAGAAGCCATATGTACTACTTTTATAACATACCTTTCACTTTGGAGTTTGCCAGCCTCAGTCCTCATTCATTAAACTCAAGAGAGGTGCCAAAAGTCAAACAGGCTTGGGACGGCATGTGGGTGAGGGAACAATGGCAAAATCACCACAAATCTTCACCCCGTGCCATCACCAAAACCATCCGCCGAGTTTTATTTATAAACTGTGAGGTATAGACAGTTGATCTGAGTGCTCTGTGGGGTTTTCCCCCGCTAAGCCAAGTTCTTAGTGTGCACTACAATACCGACCTTCATGCAGCACTAATCTAGTCTCCTGGGCCCAGAGGCCTCATGACTTTGAAGCCATTGGAAATGTCCCACTAGCACGGCATAAAGAGCGCCTTTATCTGTGCCAGGTTCAAAGCAGGAGCAGTCTATGAATGGCTGGGCACCTCCTGCATTATGAAAGGTGTGACTGGACACAAGTGGCCTGATTGTTAATGCTTTTTCATGGTCTTAGGGAAACAGAGAGGCGAGGTGAAAGCAAGGCTCCCCCAAGCTGTGTTTTTGGCGTATGGTCGCATGCTGAATTGTGTTTGTTGACATTTGAACGTGCCTGGGATTTCAAACCCATGGTCACAACCCTTTTTTTCCACAAAAGAGGAAGTTTGAGTGTGTTTATTTTGTGAATGCAATTTTTAGCCTACAATAACAAGGGTTCTGTTCCAAAATCTAGTAAGCTCCCTACATAGACATAATTTTATGGCTTCATAGTGAAAGCTTTCCAAAAGAAAGGCAGCATAATTATGTATCCCATAATGCAAGACAAATATTGACATATATATATAATTGATAAATATATAATTATTTATAAATATAATTCATTAAATAACAGTTCATATCATCAACTAAAACTAAAACTATAATATAAAATAATAAAATAAAATAAAAACTAGATAAACTAGACTTTTATAAAAATGTAAAAACTTGAAATAAAAAAAAATGAACAAAAATTAGAAGTGTTCCCTTGGCAACTAACTGAAATAAATAAGTATAAGTTGGTTTACTAAAATCATTAAAACTAAAAATGAACTAAGAAATAAATTAAAGCTACATAGTAATATATATAAAACAAAACAAAAGCACATATCACAATTACACACAATTACAAAAACAAAATAATTAAATATATTAATAAATACTAATAGTTAAAAAGTATTAATAAATAATTAATAGTTTATAAATAAAACTAAAATTACATTAAACAAGTATTGAAAAAAAGAAACAATTAAAAAAACTCCAATAAAATTCATAATGTACCGTTTTATCTAATATTTGCATGTACTACGTATATTAATCTCTTCTTTAGCTTAGCAGCACGTTAATACCAAACTCTATTGAAAGTAATGAACAGAAGTCGAGTCTCATGTGTGCTTTGCATGTTATTTTTATGATGCACAGAGTTGCTGCCTATGTAGATCACTTCAAATTGGTCACTTATGAGGTTCCATTTCACTTGTCCTATAGAAGGTAGCTGCCTAATTAGGCAGAACACAGCAAGGTAGCTCACTAAGTTTTGGAACAGAGCCATAGTATTAACTACTTTGCTTTTATTATGTCTATAAAATAGCAATATCATAAAGAAGACCAGCCAGTAAAGGACTCACCCAGCCACCGGGTGGACCACTATGGATCTGGGGTTGTTGAGGTTTCGTACAATGGCTCGTCTGGACTTATCCGCGACCTTCATGACAGATATACTCCTGTAGCGTGGATCCGTCCAGTACAGGTTCTTCGATATCCAATCATAAGCGAGATCTTCCACACCATCCACCCGATTGGCTGCTAGTACCTCCCTGCCTGTGCAGTTTAAAGCAAAGCAACACAAAGATAAGTGCGCAATCCACTGCTAGTATGTATGGAAACTAAAAAGATATGAAAGCAAGAAACAACTCAGATTGCAGCAAATGTTTTTACAGCAGTCATTAGTAACCTCCAGTTGAAGTGTAAATAGGATGCATTACACTGATCAAAAGTGACAGTACAGACATTTATAATGATCTCAAAAGATGTCCGTATCAAATAAATGCTGTTCTTTTGAACTCTCTAATCCAAGAATCCTGAAAAAAAATCTATCTTGGTTTCCACAAAGATATTAAGCAGCACAACTGTTTTCTTGATTATGTGACACTGAAGACTGGAGTAATGATGCTGAAATTCAGCTTTGCATCACAGGAATAAATAACATTTATTAAAAATGCGTTTTAAGTTGTAATACTATTTTTACTGTATTTTTGTCAGTGCAAATTAATATGCTTTCACTTAGATGTGGCTCACAGGTGTTGAATGAAACAAGCAAACTCTCTATATTGTTTTGGGTTGAGTCAGGGGGAGGAGGGTATTAGTATCCTGGATTTCTATTAGAAATGTAGCCCAACACCAGTGAACACATTATCTCATGTAGTTGGCCTTTAAAGGCAGCTGATAGGCGAGATCACATGCAGCAAAATGTGTTGTTGGCACACAGCAAATATCCAGAGGACTGAGTGGAGTATTCAGTGAGTATCAGTTTCTCACTTTATCTGCTTAAAAGTCAAGCACATTTCATCAAACAGAGCACAGATTTTGTTCTTTTTTCAACAGCAAAATAAATGAGATAAAATAATTTGAAATGAAGAACACAAGGGATGAATACAAGGGTTGGAAATTACGGGATGCTTGGGGCAAAAATGGCATCAAAATCTAAATAAATGCCCCCCAAATTCAAGATATGGGGGCAAAAAATGTCCCTGCACAGTGAAAGTAAATTAATTACAACCGTCACAGTTAAAGTAAAATATACAAATGAATAAAAAATGTTGAATGTGACATTACATTTTTATCTTCTGATGTAGCACCAAACATTTGTTTTTATGCATTGTGTTATGCAGCATTAAGCATTAAATGCAGTTACACACATCTGTTGAGTGCATGAATGCAATGGCTAATTGGAGGCGTTTAGATTTTGACCTGCCGTTTTTTATGCATTCTACTAATCAACTTTAATAATAATTATTATAATATCGAGGGCAATAATCAACAATAATGTTATTTATCATAATATTGCAGCGATTGATTTTAAAGTACTTTTACTCGTTTATAAATCACTCAATGGCCTAGGTCACATTTAAATGCAGACTCAAAACTCATCTGTTTAGCTGTGCATTTATTGAATGAGCACTGTGCTATGTCTGAACTGCGTGCACTGTATTTTATGTATGTATAATCATTTTCTATTTTTAACTGTCTAAAATTCATTTTAAATATATTTTTAAATCATTATCAAAGTTTTTAAATTCCTTGTTTTATTTTTGTGATTATTTTTTAATGATTATTTTACTTTCTTTTATGTAAAGCACTTTGAATTACCATTGCGTACAAAATTTGCTATATAAATAAACTTGCCTTGCCTTACCCTGTAATAAGTAATTAATTTATAAACTTTAATTAATTTTTTTTTTGATGTTGATCATATTGGTAACAGCCTATAGTATTCTGACTGATTTAATTAATTGATTACATTTATTTTTACATAAAAAAGACGACAGGCACATTTACAAAGGTAAGAATTGCATATGTGGAAGAAGTTATCGCTTACAGCAGCTTTACTGAAATATGCATGAAAAATACTTGTCATACTCACAGGTTCCATCAATTTTCTGTTTGTAGATGATGTCCTTCACCGTATCAGAGAAGAAAACTGAATTGTCCGCAGCACTGAAGTCCACTCCAACGAAATAAGACGGCGTTCCTGTGATGGGGAGAATGATGTCTTCCTGTGTGGACAGGTTGAAGGGGATCCCTCTGACTGCCAGCTGACTGGAGAACAGCAGAAACTGCCTCACAGCTGCAAGACACATATTGCATTTATATTGTTTTCCTTAAACATCAAGCTGCTGCATCCCAAAATGTTGATTTTTTTTTGTGTGATATGGCCTCTTTTAAACACATAAGATGCAAAGATGCAATGATAATTTGCATCTTTGTAGACAAGATCTGTCTTACCCAGGCATCTCTTGCCGTCAGCATGTAGATCGTAGCCCATTCGGCAGCGGCAGCGATATCCCAAGCCACCGTTATCAGTTCTGTGACTCAGAACACAGATGTGTTCACAGCCTCCTCGATCGGCGCCACAGGGGTTACTTACTGTCCGATCAAACAAACGGAGATGTCAATAAATCACAAAAAGAATAGCAATAATTTCATGATGTCTGTCAGTATTTTTGTTTAAAGTGGCTACGTTTAAAACCTCTCCTAAGCACAGTGATTCAACAATGCTGTGCAACAGGACAGATTAACAAAACATTTACACTACAAATGTGATGCAATCACATTGCATTTCTGGTTATTTTCATGTCTGTTTTCAGTGATTTCAGTTCAAAACTATTTGGGCCGCATTTACACCTGTATTGAGCACTGACCACTTGTGATCTCATTACCAAAGACAAATCTTAATATTAGATGTAAACAGGATCATTGGGAACAGGAATTGCACCATATATATAGTTTATTGCAAAATGTTATATATATTAAAATATATAAATATTCAAAATATTTATATTTAGACATTTACATATATTTTATATATTTTATACATTTGCATATTTCAATTTTACATTTGGCACATTTATAATTTTACATTTTACACATTTAGAATTTCAACATTTTCAATATTTTACTATTGTAAAATCAAAAGCGAAAGTAGCTTGTGGGCGTGATCTAATTAGAGATGAAGCCAGACGGGAAAGACTGGACATCACTTTGGTTTCATATGGATTACTTTATCACAGAATATTTGTTTTCGATAAGACTTGCTTCATTTAAAAGTAGACATGTCAAGCTTTCTATAGATACATCTCTCATGTCTCTGTGTCGAGTATTCGCTGAGTTTCAGTTCATTTTAATGACGCATTTCTAAATGAAGATCACGCAGACCAAGGCGGCAGACAGCACACCCTGTTTGTTTTATTTATTTTATAAAAGCACAAAGTTTTGTTGTTATTATGTGTGTATACAAATAAAAGTTGACCCTTTACAGATTCGATTGATGTAGTGCTCTTATCTGTACAATCAAAACTGACGGAGTAATTTAAGTTCTTTTAGGGGCTTTCAAAAAAAATGCAACAAAACGCACCGGCGCGTTCGTCGACCCCAGAGGGTTAAAACAACTCGAAGTACATTGTATTTTTTTTATTTAAAATCAGTCAATATTGCACCAGATTTTTTATTACACTATTTGCGATACTTTATGGAATAAGTAGTATATTCCCTCAAAAAACAAGACTTTCAAAAACAGAATTTTTGATTCTGAAATTCATGAAATGCAATGCAACGTTGTGACCGTTCTGCATCCTTAACCCAATGCATTTCCGCATGAAATAGGATATTTAAGGAACAAGGACATGAGTTTAACCATTGGGAATTGGCTGGATCTTAAAAAGCATACCAGAATGGAGTCAGGTAGTTAAAGGAGAAGGGTTGCAATGGGTTTGATGTGGGCATAGAGGAGAAGCAATAATGTACAGTATGTGGAAAATAATGTGTTTTTTTAACCTTAAACTGCATAAACACATTTCATTACACCAAATACACAAAATAATGTTCTTTTTAGCAACATCATATGACCCCTTTAATGTAATAACATTTGTTGTAAGTAATGTAATAAAGTTGTAATGTAATCTGAGGTGAAACTGGCCATCATGTTATTTTAGAATTGTTTATCTACCATTATAGTATTTAATAATATTTTGAATTATAATATAAATATTTGTATATTTTCAGTTTTTTTATTGCAATTTTAGTTTAAGCTTCAGTAATTTTGTTTTGCACTACAGTCTTGTTGCTGAATTCCTAACAGTTTAATATACATACTGTAATACAGAGTGGCAGATGCACTTTCTAGCTCCTTACCAAAAGGCTGTCTGTATGCATGGACCATAGTCAGGCCATGTGGTCTCTGAGAGGTCCTGTAGAGCTCTTGTGGGCTGTTGTCCCTGTATTTATTAGCCTTCATTACTGCCATCTTAGTCCAGTCAGTGTAGTAGACTGAATGCTCGAACAGAGTAATGGCAAATGGATGAGGAATCACAGACCCACCATGGACCACAGTTTTCCTATTGGAGAATTCAAATAAGCTCTTAACAGACTTCCGGAAAGTGCAAACAACTTGTGAAAATCAGCATGCATTTCCAAATAAAACACCTCTGCAACCCCTAGAAGATACCTGTGCAAGCCATCATAAGTCGTTGTTTCGATATAATCATATCGGCTGTCCACCCAATATACTCTTTTAGCCTCAAGGTCCAAAGTAATCCCAGCAGGCCAGCCGAGTTTGGTCCTGATGATCCCATAGCGATTGGTACCATCCATGTAGGCCCTTTCCAAACCCGGTTCCCCATTCAAAGTATCCCAGTCAGAGAAGAAAAGGTACCTAAACTCAAACAAAACAAAACAACCTCACTGTGACACAAGACACTGTTTTAATCGCATTTAACATCTAAAACAGAAAGAGGAACTAATCCTAAATGAAATGATCCCATTGTAATGATGAATCGTGATTTATTAATCTCATGTTGCACTGAAAGAGATGAAAAGCAACTTGAACTTCAAAGGTATTTGCGCAAATATATTGTTAGCGCTCAGTTTGGATAGCATCGGGTTACGGATAAAACCCTTGGGGATAAGAACATGATTTTGAAATGAATACCCAAAGAATGTTATTTTCAAACACCAAAGCGATGCAACTATACGCACTTTATTGTCACTTCTCAATTTAGCATGAGGCCACCTGGCCGTACGACCCTATCGGGTTTCCGTGAAGTTCATCTTTGCTTAATTACTTCTGACTAATCCTCACAGACAGTGTACAACATTCCCGTTCTCAGTATCGGAGGCTCCAGATCCGAGATCAGCTTCATGATTGCACTTACAATGGACGGTGGAGGAAGCAAGGGTAAGATTAAAGTCAACGGGAAGCGTCTGACGTCTCCCTCGGGAACTCACCCCACGGTCGGGTCAAGCGCAAGACCTCTCGGGTTGCCCAGGTGCTCGGCGATTAGTGTGACCCGATTGCTCCCGTCCAAGTCCACCATGTCGATTCTGTTGACGCTGGCCTCCACCACATACAGCTTATTATTCACCCAGTCCACGGCCAAGTTTTCAGGATAGTCCACGGATACGTTCAGCACCACCTGCAAACGCGACCCGTCCATATCCACTGAAAACACCTGTTTGGAGCAAACAAGTTGTGGTTAGGGAAGTTGTCGTTGAAGTTTTGATATCCTGCCAGACCAGCATTTGTTGTAAATATTGTAAAATATTATAAATAATAACTATTATATGTAACTGAAATTACTAAATAAAAACTAAAACTATCAAAAACACTGGTAAAATAAAATTAAATAATGAAATTAAATCAAATTAAAAATAAATAAAATAAAATATTGGGTGAAAAACTAAATGAACTGAAAATAACTGAAATTACTAATGAAATTACTAAATTAGTAAAATGAATTTTATACATAAAATATTATAAATAATAAATATTATAAATGAACTGACTAAATAACAACTAAACAATTTTTGTACATTTAAATGATGAAATACTGTACAATAAAATATAAATAATAGATGAAAAACTTAAACTAAATGAAAATTAGAAATGCTGCCTTGCCAAGTTGAAGAACTGAATTCACTTGAATTGAATTCACTTTCACTAAATTACTAAATAAAGTGAATATTACAGAAATATATTATAAATAACAAATATCATAAATACATAAACGATTTAAAAATGAACTGAAATTACTAAATAAATAACAACTACAACATTTTTGTTAAAAGTAATAAAGTGAAATAAAATAAAATCTAAATTTTAGATGAAATATTTTAAATTATATGAAAATTTCAAATGTTGAAATTACTAACTACATTTCTAAATAAATAAAACGAATATTCTAAATAAATCAATCAAAATGAAACTACTAAATAAATAAAAAACTAAAGAACTAAAACTGAAATACAATTAAAAATAAAATGGCATAATGAATACAATGGCTAAAAATTAAACTAAAATTAAAACTGAAACTATAAAAATAAAAGCTAATTTAAAACAGTAATATAAAAAAATAATAAAAGTATATAAATAATACTAAAATAACACTGGTTTAACCAGCACAAATCGCTTGCCTAACCAGCTTCACTTGAAAGATCACGATGGTCAACCAGCCTCAAGTTTGTCTAAACTAGTTTCTTCTTTAGTATGTGGCACGAAATCAGCCTATGAAAACTCAAACTGATCTAAGGTGGTCTTTTCAGCTGTAATTCTACAAGAACATAATCAAAACTTGCTCAAAACTTGACATTACATTCTCTTCTTAAATAATCATGGTAATAAGATTGTGGCCTGGCTTATATCGTCTGACATCTGATAGTTTGCCTTTCTCCGCTGCCCCAGAGGTGGTACTCTGAAACCACTGCCCTACTGATTAGAAGATGGCACCAGTTTCTCAGGCTGGATCCCTTGGCATCATAACACAAGCTAAGGCACCAATGCTCTTTGCAGGCTTCGCCCGTTGGAAACCAGAGCCAAACGTCTAAAAGACTATGATTCTGAGCTCACCCGTTTAACAGAAACTCAAGCTGTGAAGGTGGTCTGGTGGTGTGGCTCTCTGAGACCCCCTGCCACTATACTCAGAAGCCCATCTCCTCGCATGTACCCACTTTTTTTGCTCCATGGCTGATCTCCAAATCACAAAGTAGCCAAGAGTTTGAAACAAAGCTCTTTGAGCTGGCCAAAGAACGCATAAAAAAGGGAAGAATATTGCATGCTCACTCCAGATCCTCTCAAGTTGCATAAAATTACGCAGAAATATGCGAGCATTTCCCTGCCTATCAGACACTTTCTGGAGATTAGAAAACATGGAGTCTAGCACCGATCTGAGTCAGTTACCGTGATTGCGGCCCTTCGGGAGCCAGACTGGTCGCCTATTATTAGCGTATTAGCAGTATCTACAGGCATCAGCTGAAGAATTCCCTTTCCGCTGATGAAGAGCCAACTTCCTTCATAGCTTCCACAAGCTGGTTTTTTCTTTAATCCTCAGAGACCCAAGCACTGATATTTATTATTTATTTTCTTCTTTTTCTCACTTTTATTTTTTTTGTGTGTGTTGGGATGAATTTTGGTTAAACATTATTAAAGCAAAATAAAAAACAAACAAACAAACAAACAATGGTTTTTCAAGGCTGTAAAATCACACCATTGCATTATTATTATATATATAT